CACAAAGACGCACGTGCTTTGGTTGATTGATTGCAGTGGCAGGCCATTAGATAACTTCCATATGGCTTAAGAACCCAAGTACAGAAGAGTAGAGATTAAATACATTCCGCCGAATTTAGGTAATTTAATAGGTCTTTCATTTTCACCGATGAACAGTTTGATAAACTATCAAGGAAGTATCTTTCTAAGAACTTATATCTTCTGGACGCCCGCAAGTGCTTTACTGAATTACTTTTTTTTAATTTTTATGCATACATGTAAATATGTTTTTATTTTCTTGAAGTTGAAAACGCAAGTGCTTTACTGCATTACTTTTTGTTTTTAATTATTTCCTCATATACGTAAATAGTTATTTATATTCTTGAAATTGAAAACGTTTATATAGAGCATTTCTAAAGAAATTTTTAGGCCAAATGACATATTTAGTTATTTATTTTTTTTTTCTGATATTTGTTTAAATAAACAAGTGTCTAATCAAAATGCTTTAGAGTACTTCAATAAGTCACATTTCAGTATTAGTGCATACACTCCAAAAATGTTAGTTGCTTGAATATCGATCGGACTTGAACATAATGGATTGTAAATAAATGTACTGGCTATAAATACATTATTACTTTTAATCGCTACCGGAACAAATATTCTATGCAATTACAGTTGTTTTACGTAAAGAAGAAGTTTATGAAATATATCTACATTTCAGATGAATGAATGTTTGAATCAAAAAGCGATTTTATTAAGCTTTTTTTAGATAATAATAAAATTATTTAAGTAACTTATACGCAAAGCAACATTTTATAATTATCCATAATATATAGAATTTTTATCAGAATTATACGTATTATTAAATATTCCAATTTATGTGACAAATATGAATATTCTGATTTGCATTTAATAATCCGAAATTCGAATAGATTCAAAATGATTAGTTCAAATTTTTTTTTACTCATATTCGAATATTTCAAATAATCGATTATATACAATGTATATGACACATATAATTATTGTATGTGAACAGCGCTAAATTCTATATTTTATAATAATAATAATTAGAATATTATTTGCTTAAAAGACAGGAAAAATATTGAAGAAAATTCAATATAGTTACGTATTTATTATTAACTTAATGAGACTAAATATGTTTAGCTAGTTTTTCAAATCCAGTTTTTATAATTATTAATCACAGATATTGAGTTTTTTGCAAAAAAATGTTTGTGAGTGAATATTTCTTGATTGATACCACACTGATATCTAGATACCAAACTTTAACTAGGCGTTGGTTCTATGTTAAAACTGTGGGCAAAATGAGGAAAATAGTTTAGATAACGCAGTAAACGATCTTAAAGTAAAAAGAGATCCACTGTATCAGTACGAAGAAAATGGAGCGCATTGTTGTGGAAATACTGTACCACAAAGGACTATAAAGGACTGTGACGGTTAGAAACAGAATTAGAGAGAATAGAAAAGAGAAGAGAAATAAGCTACAACTGTTATCATTTTCTTTGAGATAACATAATATAAGCTACATAAACCAGCCGACAGCTGTTACAGTAGAGCTTCAACGAGTTCGAACATTATGATCGGTGCTCATACAGCTTGTATATAGTCGAATTCGAATATTTGGATTTATTGTTTAAATAAATTCGGTTTGTTCGTATAAATTTATACATAATATAATTATGTATAACACCAAATTATGTGCAACACACCTATTGCAACATTTTCAAGCTGTTTAATTTTCTAGAACATTTGTATAATAATTGAAGTTTTGTTCGTCAAACCAAAAAAAAACAATGCAGAAAATAAAAAAAAACTTAAATTATAAAAATTAAAAACTTTTATTCTCTATTTAAAATATTTAATTCACTGAATTGAAAATATTATTTCAGTTTTATCTAATTTAGAATGAAAATATACCCTTTTAGTTGATGTATGCTTATGTTATTTTACTTAACTTTTAAAAAAGTTTAATTTAAAAATTAAATTAATATTTTATTGTTAATTTAAAAAACTTTTTAAATATTTTTTTTAATTCAAATTAATCATTTCTATTATATAAAATTTAATTATTTACGATAATTTTATTATATTATTATATTACAATAGCAAAACTTTTAATACTTTTAAATTATTTAAATTTAAATATATGTTTGAAAAATAATTTAATTAATTATCGTATAAAATTAAATTTTATATAATTAAAAATAATCATTTTAATTAAAAATATACTTTAAAGCGTTTTTAAATTAACGTTCTTTGATTCTAATAAAATATTGCGAATCTCAGGTATGCATATGTATTTCTTAAGTCACTCGTGGATATAATCTACCGCTTTGATTGAAGAAATTTTGTGTGGTGACAGAACGTATATAACGATATCACTATTTTTCCTATTTCTAGTCTCATACTAACATCATCTATTAGAAGTAACATATGTAAGTATATTATATAAACAGATTTTCATATATTATTTCTGTTGGTTCCGTTAAGGAATACAAATATACCTAATCATTTATTTTAAGAGTATTACTTTTAAAATAAAACTTGTTTCTCAACAATGATTGAAATATCACCACAGATTATAGGTAATAAAATGTTATAAATTTTATTATAAATTCTTATTTTCATTTGATTAAATGTCAGCTCGTTGTAAAATTTCCAAGAAGCATCAATTAATAATGGTTAATCTAAAGTGGTTAGGGGTTAGGGTTTACGCTAAAAACAAAGTGAAGAAGAATTACTTTTTTGTCTGTTGCTATGAAATAACGTCAAAACTTCTTCACTTCATACGATATGATTATTAATTATTTGTATAAAAATGGCTGCAATTCTTGGTAAAACACAAAAATACATAATTAGATTTAATAAATTATGAAAGAATTAAATACGTTATTAATTGATGACCAATAGTGAAAGTAAAATATGGTTGTTGAAAATGGGTTTTGATGTTATGTTTAATATTAATGAAAATAATATATAATATCTTGATTATGGACATCAATATTTTCTCTATGAATACGTGGTATTAATGTATGGGAACTGTATAAAAGTTTAGTAAATAATATTTCTAATATTGTCTAGGGCGAGTGATATGTTAAGCAATAAAATTTTTGTAGTAATTAAAAAATTTCAAAATCGTATAATCGATAAATGTATCTAAATGAATCTATGAATATAATATAATATAATATAATCTATATGAATAGATTATTACTACATGGAAATTAAGATAAAATATATATTCCACTAAGCGAATTATCTAAGCAAAATAGTCTTCATTGCTAAAATTAATTATATAGCTACAAGTATATTGAAGGATTATACTCGGAGATATATAATATGTATTTAGAAATAACTTCTTTTTAATTATTGCTCAATAATATCTACAACACTTTTGGTGAATTATGAATGCTTATTATCAAAAATCTCATTAAATTTTTTAAAGAAAAATTATATTCCAAATTTAATATAATTTAAGTTTTCTAACAGTTGTCGCGATTTATATACTCTTATTAGAATTCCTTTCGAATAGTGTTGATCATGTTTTGCTCAATTCTTAAGTGAACTGTGTACTTTAGTGTTTGCAATCAAAGAACATGAATAAAATCATTTGGTAGTATTTCGTTTAATTTAGTTATTTAAATGTTGTCTATATTATATAGCGGTAGAAATATCCATAATGATCCGTATAGGAGTGACTTAGTTTGTAGCGCAATTAAGTTAAAAAAAATTATGAATTATTGTTTTTTAAGCATCAAAACCTTTCACTTTAAATTAATAATTCTTTAAAGAAAAATTAAAATACTTAAATGTGGATTTTTTTCAACTGCTCTCCTCTCAACTTCCTAGCTAATAATAATTTTTTTGTTTTAAATCTTTAAGCTCTTCTCAAAAATGTCTTGCATAGCAATATTTTCAATATAGTAACACATTATTAAACTTTTTGTTGTAATTTAAAAAAAATCTCAATAAATTTAAGATAATTAATTTTGCAAATATCTCAACGAAAGTAAATAGAAACTTAATGATTACATTATAACTTGAAGAAAATAATTATTATTTTAATAAATAATTAATTAATTATTTTGCTTCAAAGGAGGCACATTTAAACGTTTTGTATATTTAGTTTAGACAATTAACAGTTTATTTTCATATATAAATATTCTTTTCTTGATGAAACAACATATAATATATTTATATATCTTTATTTATGTATTATGTCATTGTTATTATATTTTTGTTAAGAAAAAATTTTAAAACAGTATTTAATTTTATTTATATTTCTCTGAAATTGATCGGTTAATATATGCTTTTTATAAATGTATATATATTATGTACTAGATCTCAATACATGTTTTATCTCTCATATGTAATTAATTTATGTGCTCTTTTTTCACTTAATATATACTTTAACCATCAAAAAAATATAATTAATACATGATTTTAATTTATTTAACATGCATACGATTTTAATATATAATATATTATTATACATCGTTTGTAAATATATATTTTCACACTTTTACTAATATTAATGAACTAATAATACTGCACTAATACATGAATACAATTATATGCAAATACTTGTTTCGTACACAAATGTAGTATTAGTTAATAGGACTTACAGAAGGAACTGACACTGGCCATAGTCAATAACAAAGTTAATTTTCTTATATTAAAAACCTTTGCTAAATGATAAATATGTTTTCTGATCAATTAATTAATTTTCTAACTGTTAATTAAGTAAGTAGAAGTTAAATAATTATAATTATTTAATCTTAAATAGCAATAACATTGATATTCCAGTCGTTTGGTATTACTGTATTAAATGCTGCATTTTGGTATAACTTTAATTCAGTTCTTTTGTAAGTCCTTTTTATTAATTATAGTATCTTTCTTTTAAATTTAATTTAATTTCAAAAAATTCAATTTTTGATTTTAGAATTACAGAAAAAAGATTTTATTAAGGAACAGATTAAAAAATTATAATTTAAATTCTTTGGCATTAAAAATAATAATTTTCGTAACTTACCTCCTCGTTTAAGGACAATTTATTCAATCCAATTTAATGAAAGTCCATATTCAGAGAGCGTGGGAGGTTTTTTATTCTGTGCTTATTTATTTTAGAAACACTTTTTTATGCATTTGGCATAGAAAAAAGAGTGAAAATTAGAAAGCCCTCCTTTGTTTGGCATAGGAAATTATGCAAATTAATGAAATATATAACAAAAGGTGGCAGACACACGCCTGTATTTGAACGTATGTTGCACCGCAGCTCCATCCAATTTGCATAATTTCGACTTCTGAAAGCTTAAAGCACTTGCGAGTCACAATAGTTTTTATTATTTATTTGTTTTGATTAAATTTTTTTTTGTTTTTTTTTTGGTTTTTTTTTTGTAATTTAAAATATTTAAATCTCAAATTGTTAACACAAATTCTTAAGTTTTGCATTTTTTCAATATTTTTAGCTACATCACACAACAAGATCATGTGATCTTGAGATGCTAACGCATTAAGCCAGTTGCAACATTTTAATATTGCACTTCAATGCAATATTACTGCAAATGTTGCGGGCAGTTTGTTCCTTGCAAAAGGCTCAGATGCGTTTTAACTGTTTGCTGTGCTGGTCTTGTATATATTCTTAGTCAAAATATTTGAATGATTTAGTGAAAGTATTTTTATTTCATATTTGTTATCTAATAGTTTTGTTTTTATAAAGTTATTCTTCAGCAAATGCAATAAACATCCCCGTGGCCTAGAATTCTAAGCGGTAGGCGGAGCAAGAGGTTTCGTGATCCTGTAAGTTAATTGTGCAACGTGAAGCGGATGGAGACAAGTCGATGCGATACTTAGCTAAGAGTTCTTCGTTTTCGGCTACCCAGTAGCCCAGCACATCGGTGTCATAAGTTGGTATAATTGTAACTTCTGCAAGAAATTGGAAAAGAAATGTTAAACATTTTTCTTATTGTAATACGTTTTTATTTTTATAATTATTTTCTCATTATTACCTAAGTCCTTATCCTCCCACGTTTGTTTCGCTTCGAGCAATGCATCATAAACTTGACGACTCGGCTCCGTACCAGAAAATACATAATAACGTGCTCTTACTCGTTTAAAGAACTCCACATGTGAATAATATGAATTTCCATTGTGCGGTACATAAGTAAGATCAACGTAGACTGGTGCTGGCTTTTTAGCTTTGTTAGGTGATTCAGCTCTTCTACGGAGATTTTTTTCATTATTTAAGCGCGTTTTTGTTGCAACTAAACGTCTTTCTTTCTTTGGTGTAGTACGTATGTCACCATCTGTTGTTATTGGTGCAGGTGAAGGCAATCCTAAAGGCTTGCCCCATTCTTTTAGTGGATCTTTGGTTTGACCACTGGTGCTAGCACTTGTTGCGGAGATAGTCGTGGTCTCTGTTGTGGAAGTGCTTGTAGCACTGACATCAGTGGTTGCTGTAGACGAAACAGTCGTAGTTGTTGTTATTGTAGTCTTACCATCGTTGCTCGTTTCAACTTTAGTTGTTGAAAAACTTGTTTCACCAGCTTTCGATTTTTGTACATCACTTAGTGGAAATTTAGGTTTCTCAACACTAGCAACTGTTTGTTCTACTTCCTCCGCCTTAGATGGAGAATATGAGTATTTAGCTGTAACTGATGACATGACTTCAGCTCCACGTACTTGTACATGTTCCTCAAGTGCTTTTTCAAAATCCAAATCGGCTTCTTCAAGAAATTTGTGATCACCTGTTTTGCTTGAAGTTTCAGACATAATTTGGCCTCTTATCCACGGCTGGCTAGTACTATCTGCACTCCCGGATGATTGGCTAGGAAGTGATTCTGTCAATGTGCGTGTTGTAACTGTATGTGTGGCTTTTCCTTGTATTGGTATTGGCTGCGATGGTTTAGTATCAAATGTGTCAGGCAATGTTCCGTAGAATGATGTGCTCATAGGATCAGGTATTTTGTGCGTATAACTAGAAATAGAACGTGCAGCAGAATGTTCCTCACTACCATATTGTGGTGGTATATCATCTTGACTGTCGTCAACATCAAAATCGGATCGTTTACTTATTCCAGAACTAGAGCGCTGCAACTCGTAGCTAGCACCATGTGATGATGTTACACTACGGGGTGAGGCAGGCATATCATCATCACTCATAACATCGTCACTACCAGGAGTTGATGATCGATGTATACCTCGAAGCATTGCTACCTCTTTGGGAAGAATGGGATCACTTTTATCACTTTCGCTTGTAGTACGAGTTGTTGTTACAGTTACTTTTTCACCATCTGGTTCAGATGAATCGGTAGTTGTGACAGTTTTTTCCTCAGTAACAATTTCTTTGCCATCTGCAGATATAACTTTTGTAACTGTAGTGATGGTTGTGGTAATTACTTTCTCAGTACTTCCACTTAGAGCTGACGTTTTTTCAATACCTCGTATTTCATGTAATTCCGGGAATACCTCAGACTTCATTTCAGTTTGAGAAACAGTTTGTTCGCACATCGTTTCGGTTAAGCTTGAGCTTGATTCGGTCTTAAGATCTGTGGATGCTTTAATATCATCTTTTGTTACACGTGGAAATGGTGATGTAGGTTTTGGTGATGATTCTGGAGTATCGGTGGCTGATTCTCGTCCTATGGGTGTGGGAATTGATTGACTTTCAGAAGTTAGTAATCCGGGACTTGACTTACCACTTATGTCCTTAGGAGAAAGTGGGCCTGTTATTGATGTTGTACTGCTCCCTCCAGCATCACTTACAGTCGTTGTTGTTGTACTTACAATACCTGTTGTTGTAAATGATTTTACTCCTGGACTGACCGGTGCTGTTGGAGGAGTTTTACGGTCAGCAGCTTCATCTTCATGACTCTGTGTAAGAGATAAATTATGGTCTTTCGTTACAACTTTAGAAGATTCGGCAGCGCTTATTTTTGTTAAAGTTAATGTTTTTGATATTCTTGTTTTTTCTCCTTCTTCTTCTGTTTCTTCTTCGAACGTTTCAATTTTATGCACATCTTCTGAAGGCTTGTAAATGCTGGTCATCATTATTGTTGCAATTGATTTTGATCTACCGCCACGTATATTTGTCAATTCATCATCGTCATCATCGTCCTGATCACTAAGCGTAAGACGTCCCTCACTTGTTTGACTAAGCATGGACTCACGTCGTGAGTCGTCTGTTTTTGCAACATATAAATCAGAACTTGAGGTTTTTGTAATACTTTCCTCGCTAGATTTAATTTTAGTTTCCGTTGTTAAACTTTCTTTCGAAGATACTACTTTCTCCTGAGTTAAAAATTCATTCACTGACTCCTTGACATCAGCTATTTTACTAACAACAGGTGTTACACTTGAACTCATTAACTCAGTTAATGTTTTTGCTTCGCTTAACTCGGCCTTTGTTACACTTTCCACTGTTTCAAATTTTGATTTCGATAATTCTTCCGATTTAGATACTGTCTTCTCTGTTAAGCATTCTTTTGACTTCTCAACCATACTGTCAGAATGTTGTGCAAGTTTTTCATCAGAAGTTGAATTAGAATCAATTAATTCTGAGTGTATGGACTTTGCAAATGTGTTTGTGTTTGTAACAGTTTCTATAACAGATGGCATTGATTCACTTAGGGATTCCTGTTTTTCATCAGTAACAGAATCGGGTCTAGAAAGTTGTCTGGGAGGTGATGGGGATTTTTCATGTAATTGATGTTCTGCACTTAAAACTATTTCACTCTTTATATCACTATCTGTTTGACTTATTGTTTTTACTATGCTTTCTAAATGTCTTGTATGACTATCTAATGCAGACGATAAGAAATTAGAGTCAATGATAGAAATTGAATCAATATTTTTTGTATTAATGATTTCTTCTTTTGCAATGTCTTTTTTCAGTAAAGGTTGCTCAGTTTTAATTTTTGTTTCTGTTTCTTTAAGTTGCACTTTTTCTGATTCTTCTGTTTTGTCCTTTTCTTCAATCGATATTGGTCCAGATTTAGGGTCTGGTGATGATTTTTCGGATTCAATATCAGTTTTTATATCTTTATCTTGCCTTTGTTCCAACTCATTTGTTATATTTATCTGTTCTGATTCGATTTCTTCTACGAAATATGAGTCAATTTTTCCATCTTGACATGCACTGCTAGTTTGTTTATCGGTAGCTTTCAATTTGTCTTCTAATTGTTTCACATCGAAGTCTGGTATTATTTCTGTGATATCTTTTTCTGATTTTAGAACTTTTGCAACATCTGCAACAATTTTTGCTACCTCTTCCTCACGAGGGGACACTGGACGTTGTGGTTGAGGCATTAAAATATTCTCTCTTGGAGGAGACGATCTGTGCTCTTCATCTTCCTCCTTTATGTCATGCAGAACAGATTCATCCCGGTCACAAACAGAAACTTTTAATTCAGGTGAATCTACAGTTGTAATATGAGTTTCTCGCAATTCAGTGGAATATCCGCTAATATCGATAGATTGCGAGAGAGGTTGTAGAACTTCTTCTTTAGAGGGAGATGAAGTTTTTGCTTTTTCGGTGCTAATTATATCAGCGTTTTCAATTTCTGTTTTAAGGTTTTCGAAATTATCAGATATTTTACTAGTTACATTTTCTGACCTTTTCCATAAGTTTTCCACCACTTCGAGCACTGTTTCCTTTGTACTATGAGGTGCAGAAGCTGCAGCAATGATTTCTGATATATTAGCTTTAAGTTCCCTTGTCAAATCATCCGTTACAGAGACAGTTTCATCCTCCACTAATTCTGTACTCAAATCCGTCAAATGAGTAAAAGATTGATCAGTTAATTTACTTGTACTATCTTTTAAGTCATCCAATTTCTTAGACATATCTGCAATTACTTCTGCACTTGCTTTCACATCTTGTATTTTATTTGTACTATCAACTAAATCGATATTTGATCCTTTAGATAGACTAGCTTTAACATCAATTATAGCATCAATGACTGTAGTCAACTTATCTGCTTCATCTACTGGAGAAGAAACTGTATCTGAAGTACAAACCCTAGAAAGTTCAGCCGGCAAAACTGAACTAGGCATACTGGGCTGACAAAGAGGTTCCTTTAATTTAAAATCTTTATCGGCTATATCCACTGGACTAGAAGTAGTACATATCTCTTGACTGAGTTCCGATGTGTTTAAGTCTAATGATAGTTCTTTCAATTTTAAATTGCTTAAATCAAAACAAGCTTCATCAATTGGGGTTGAAAGTGTTTGTAGTATTACAGTATCATCCCCAGAAATTTTGTGTGTATCTGCAATAAATTAAATAATAATTTAAAAATATTTCGTATATCAATATTAACAATATATTAATTTCACCTTCCGACATAGCTGCCGACATATCTAAAAACACGCGATGAGAGTCTTCTTCAAAAATTTTTTCAGATTGAATAACTTCTGGCTTTTCTGGTTTATCTGTAACACTTTCAGCAACTGATGCTGGTCGAGATGGTTCTTTCGAAGCAACGGGAGATTTGCCATCTTTCACACTTGGTACTTCAACGATTTCAACGTTATCGACACTGGTTGTAGATACACGACGAGATTCTACGGCAGTAGTTTCTTCCCGCTTTTCACTCTCCGTTACAGATTGTGGTCTAGATGGCTCCTTGGAGACAACTGCAGATTTTTCATCCTTCTCACTTGGAATTTTCTCAACATCAGGCTTACCAGTACTTGCTAACGAGTCGCGACGAGAGCCCCTTTCAACAGATTTTTCATCTTGAATATCCTCTGGTTCTTCAGGCTTGTCTGTAATGCTTTCTGCAACTGATGTAGGTCGAGATGGTTCTTTCGAAGCAACGGGAGATTTGTCATCTTTCACACTTGGTACTTTATCGATTTCAAACTTATCTACACTAATTGACGACACACGACGAGATTCTTCGGCGATAGAGACTTCCTGCCTTTCACCCTCCGTCACTGATTCTGGTCTAGATGGCTCCTTAGAGGCAACTGGAGATTTTTCATCCTTTTCACTTTTAATTTTATCAACATCAGGTTTACCAGTACTTGCTAAGGAAACGCGACGGGAGTCGTCTTCAACAGTTTTCTTAGCTTCGATATCTTCTGGTTTCTCTGGCTTATCTGTAATACTTTCTGCAACTGATGCTGGTCGAGACGGTTCTTTCGAAGCAACGGGAGATTTGTCATCTTTTACACTTGGTACTTTATCGATTTCAACCTTATCGACACTGATTGTGGACACACGACGGGATTCATCGGCAGTGGTTTCTTCCCGCTTTTCAGTCTCCGTTACTGATTCAGGTCGAGATGGCTCCTTAGACGTAACTGGAGATTTTTCATCCTTCTCACTTGGAAGTTTCTCAACAGGTTTACCAATACTTGCTAACGAGACGCGATGTGAGTCCATTTCAACAGATTTTTCAGCTTGAATATCTTGTGGTTTTTCTGGTTTATCTGTAATACTTTCTGCCACTGAAGCTGGTCGAGATGGTTCTTTCGAAGCAACGGGAGATTTGTCATCTTTCACACTTGGTACTTTATCGATTTCAACCTTATCGATACTGATTACAGACACACGATGAGATTCATTGGCAATAGTTTCTTCCCGCTTTTCACTCTCAGTTACTGATTCGGGTCGAGATGGCTCCTTGGAGGCAACTGGAGATTTTTCATCCTTCTCACTTGGAAGTTTCTCATCATCAGGCTTACCAGTACTTGCTAACGAGACACGACGCGAGTCCTCTTTAACACCTTTATCAGCTGCAATATCTTCTGGTTTTTCTGGTTTATCTGTAATGCTTTCTGCAGCGGATGCTGGTCGAGATGGTTCTTTCGAAGCAACGGGAGATTTATCATCTTTCACACTTGGTACTTTATCGATTTCAAGCTTATCTACACTGATTGTAGATACACGACGAGATTCATCGGCAGTAGTTTCTTCCCGCTTTTCACTCTCTGTTGCTGATTCGGGTCGAGATGGTTCTTTCGAAGCAACTGGAGATTTTTCATCCTTTTCACTTGGAATTTTCTCAACATCAGGCTTACCAGTACTTGCTAACGAGACGCGACGAGAGTCCATTTCAACAGATTTTTCAGCTTGAATATCTTCCGGCTTTTCTGGCTTATCTGTAATACTTTCTGCAACTGATGCTGGTCGAGATGGTTCTTTCGAAGCAACGGGAGATTTGTCATCTTTCACACTTGGTACTTTATCGATTTCAACCTTATCTGCACTGATTGTAGACAGACGACGAGATTCATCGGCAGTAGTTTGTTCCCGTTTTTCACTCTCTGTTACTGATTCAGGTCGAGATGGCTCCTTAGAGGCAACTGGAGATTTTTCATCCTTTTCACTTGGAATTTTCTCAACATCAAGTTTATCAGTACTAGCTAACGAGACGCGACGGGAGTCGTCTTCAACAATTTTTTTAGCTTCGATATCTTCTGGTTTTTCAGGCTTATCTGTAATACTTTCTGCAGCGGATGTTGGTCGAGATGGTTCTTTCGAAGCAACGGGAGATTTGTCATCTTTCACACTTGGTACTTTATCGATTTCAACCTTATCGACACTGATTGTAGACACACGACGAGATTCATCGGCAGCAGTTTGTTCTCGTCTTTCATCCTGCGTTACGGATTCAGGTCGAGATTCATCGGTAGTTGCTTCCCGTTTTTCACCTTCCGTTACAGATTCTGGTCTAGATGGCTCCTTAGAGGCAACTGGAGATTTTTCATCCTTTTCACTTGGAATTTTCTCAACATCAGGTTTACCAGTACTTGCCAACGAGACTCGACGCGAGTCCTCTTTATCTCCTTTTTCAGATTGAATATCATCTGGTTTTTCTAGTTTATCTGTAATACTTTCTGCAACTGATGCTGGTCGAGATGTTTCTTTCGGAGCAACGGGAGATTTATCATCTTTCACACTTGGTACTTTATCGATTTCAACCTTATCGACACTGATTGTAGATACACGACGAGATTCATCGGCAGTAGTTTCTTCCTGCTTTTCACTCTCTGTTACTGATTCAGGTCGAGATGGCTCTTTAGAGGCAACTGGAGATTTTTCATCCTTCTCACTTGGAATTTTCTCAACATCAGGTTTACCAGTACTTGCCAACGAGATACGACGAGAATCGTCAGCAACAGCTTTTTCAGCTTGAATGTCATCCGCCTTTTCTGGCTTACCTGTAATATTTTCTGCAACTGATGCTGGTCGAGATGTTTCTTTCGAAGCAACGGGAGATTTATCATCTTTCACACTTGGTACTTTTTCGATTTCAACCTTATCGCCAGTTGTTGTAGACAGACGACGAGATTCATCGGCAGCAGTTTGTTCTCGTCCTTCATCCTGCGTTACTGATTCAGGTCGAGATTCATCGGTAGTTGCTTCCCGTTTTTCACCTTCCGTTACAGATTCTGGTCTAGATGGCTCCTTAGAGGCAACTGGAGATTTTTCATCCTTTCCACTTGGAATTTTCTCAATATCAGGTTTACCAGTACTTGCCAACGAGACTCGACGCGAGTCCTCTTTAACTGCTTTTTCAGATTGAATATCATCTGGTTTTTCTAGTTTATCTGTAATACTTTCTGCAACAGATGCTGGTCGAGATGTTTCTTTCGAAGCAACGGGAGATTTATCATCTTTCACACTTGGTACTTTATCGATTTCAACCTTATCTATACTGATTGTAGATACACGACGAGATTCATCGGCAGTAGTTTCTTCCCGCTTTTCACTCTCTGTTACTGATTCGGGTCGAGATAGTTCTTTCGAAGCAACTGGAGATTTTTCATCCTTTTCACTTGGAATTTTCTCAACATCAGGCTTACCAGTACTTGCTAACGAGACGCGACGAGAGTCGTCTGCAACAGCTTTTTCAGCTTGAATATCTTCCGGCTTTTCTGGCTTATCTGTAATACTTTCTGCAACTGATGCTGGTCGAGATGGTTCTTTCGAAGCAACGGGAGATTTGTCATCTTTCACACTTGGTACTTTATCGATTTCAAACTTATCGCCACTTATTGTGGACACAAGACGTGATTCAACGGCAGTAGCTTGTTCCCGCTTTTCACTCTCCGTTACTAATTCAGGACGAGACTCATCGGTAGTAGCTTCCCGTTTTTCACCTTCCGTTACTGATTCTGGTCTAGATGTCTCCTTAGAGGCAATTGGAGACTTTTCATCCTTTTCACTTGAAATTTTCTCAACAGCTTTTTCAGATTGAATATCTTCTGGTTTTTCAGGCTTATCTGTAATACTTTCTGCAACTGATGCTGGTCGAGATGGTTCTTTCGAAGCAACGGGAGATTTGTCATCTTTCACACTTGGTACTTTATCGATTTCAAGCTTATGTACACTGGTTGTAGATACACGACGAGATTCATCGGCAGTAGTTTCTTCCTGCTTTTCACTCTCTGTTACTGATTCAGGTCGAGATGGTTCTTTCGAAGCAACTGGAGATTTTTCATCCTTTTCACTTGGAATTTTCTCAACATCAGGTTTACCAGTACTTGCTAACGAGACGCGACGCGAATCATCTGCAACAGCTTTTTCAGCTTGAATGTCATTCGGTTTTTCCGAGTTATCTGCAATGCTTTCTGCAACTGATGCTGGTCGAGATGGTTCTTTCGAAGCAACGGGAGATTTGTCATCTTTCACACTTGGTATTTTATCGATTTCAAGCTTATCTACACTGATTGTAGACACACGACGAGATTCATCGACAGTAGATTCTTCTCGTTTTTCACCCTCCGTTACTGATTCAGGTCGAGATGGCTCCTTAGAGGCAACTGGAGATTTTTCATCCTTCTCACTTGGAATTTTCTCATCATCAGGCTTACCAGTACTTGCTAACGAGATTCGACGCGAGTCCTCTTTAACACCTTTTTCAGCTGGAGTATCTTCCGGTTTTTCAGACTTGTCTGTAATGCTTTCTGCAACAGATGCTGGTCGGGATGGTTCTTTCGAAGCAACGGGAGATTTGTCATCTTTCACACTTGGTACTTTATCGATTTCAAACTTATCGACACTGATTGTAGATACACGACGAGATTCATCGGCAATAGTTTCTGTGCGTTTTTCGTCCTCCAGTACTGATTCTGGTCTAGATGGCTCCTTAGAGGCATCTGGAGATTTTTCATCCTTCTCACTTGGAAGTTTTTCAACATCAGGCCTACCAGTACTTGCTAACGAGACACGACGCGAGTCCTCTTTAACACCTTTATCAGCTGCAATATCTTCTGGTTTTTCTGGTTTATCTGTAATGCTTCCTGCAGCGGATGCTGGTCGAGATGGTTCTTTCGAAGCAACGGGAGATTTTTCATCTTTCACACTTGGTACTTTATCGATTTCAACCTTATCGATACTGATTGTAGACAGACGACGAGATTCATCGACAGTAGTTTCTTCCCGTTTTTCACTCTCTGTTACTGATTCGGGTTGAGATGGCTCTTTAGAGGCAACTGGAGATTTTTCATCCTTTTCACTTGGAAGTTTTTCAACATCAGGTTTGCCAGTACTAGCTAACGACACACGACGAGATTCGTCTGCAACAGCTTTTTGAGCTTGAATATCTTCCGGCTTTTCTGGCTTATCTGTGATACTTTCTGCAACTGATGCTGGTCGAGATGGTTCTTTCGAAGCAACGGGAGATTTGTCATCTTTCACACTTGGTACTTTTTCGATTTCAACCTTATCGCCACTTGTTGTAGACAGACGACGAGATTCATCGGGAGTAGTTTCTTCCCGTTTTTCACTCTCCGTTACTGATTCGGGTCTAGATGGCTCCTTAGAGGCAACTGGAGATTTTTCATACTTCTCACTTGGAATTTTCACAACATCAGGCTCATCAGTACTTGCCAACGAGACGCGACGTGAGTCCTTTTCAACAGATTTTTCAGCTTGAATATCTTGTGGTTTCTCTGGCTTATCTGTAATACTTTCTGCAGCGGATGCTGGTCGAGATGGTTCTTTCGAAGCAATGGGAGATTTGTCACCTTTCACACTTGGTACTTTATCGATTTCAACCTTATCGACACTGATTGTAGAGTCCTCTTTAACAGCTTTTACATCTTGAACATCTTCTGGTTTTTCTGGTTTATCTGTAATACTTTCTGCGACTGATGCTGGTCGAGATGGTTCTTTCGAAGTGACGGGAGATTTATCATCTTTTACACTTGGTACTTTATCGATTTCAAACTTATCGACACTGATTGTAGATACACGACGAGATTCATCGGCAATAGTTTCTGTGCGTTTTTCGTCCTCCAGTACTGATTCTGGTCTAGATGGCTCCTTGGAGGCATCTGGAGATTTTTCATCCTTCTCACTTGGAATTTTCTCAACATCAGGCTTACCAGTACTTGCCAACGAGATTCGACGTGAGTCCTCTTTAACTTCTTTTTCAGATTGAATATCATCTGGTTTTTCCGACTTATCTGCAATGCTTTCTGCAACTGATGCTGGTCGAGATGTTTCTTTCGAAGCAACGGGAGATTTATCATCTTTCACACTTGGTACTTTATCGATTTCAAGCTTATCTACTCTGATTGTAGATACACGACGAGATTCATCGGCAGTAGTTTCTTCCCGCTTTTCACTCTCTGTTACTGATTCAGGTCGAGATGGCTCTTTAGAGGCAACTGGAGATTTTTCATCCTTCTCACTTAGAATTTTCTCAACATCAGGCTTACCAGTACTTGATAACGAGTCGCGACGAGAGTCCTTTTCAACAGATTTTTCAGCTTGAATATCTTGTGGTTTTTCTGATTTATCTGTAATGCTTTCTGCAGCGGATACTGGTCGAGATGGTTCTTTCGAAGCAACGGGAGATTTTTCATCTTTCACACTTGGTACTTTATCGATTTCAAACTTATCTACTCTGATTGTAGATACACGACGAGATTCATCGGCAGTAGTTTCTTCCCGTTTTTCACTCTCTGTTACTGATTCAGGTCGAGATGGCTCTTTAGAGGCAACTGGAGATTTTTCATCCTTCTCACTTAGAATTTTCTCAACATCAGGCCTACCAGTACTTGCTAACGAGACACGACGCGAGTCCTCTTTAACACCTTTATCAGCTGCAATATCTTCTGGTTTTTCTGGTTTATCTGTAATGCTTTCTGCAGCGGATGCTGGTCGAGATGGTTCTTTCGAAGCAACGGGAGATTTGTCATCTTTCACACTTGGTACTTTTTCGATTTCAACCATTTCGATGCCAGTTGTAGACACACGACGAGATTCATCGGCAGTAGTTTCTTCCCGTTTTTCACCCTGCAACACTGATCCTCGACGGGATTCATCGGTAGTTGCTTCCCGTTTTTCACCTTCCGTTACAGATTCTGGTCTAGATGGCTCCTTAGAGGCAACTGGAGATTTTTCATCCTTTTCACTTGGAATTTTCTCAACATCAGGTTTACCAGTACTTGCCAACGAGACTCGACGCGAGTCCTCTTTATCTCCTTTTTCAGATTGAATATCTTCTGGTTTTTCTGGTTTATCTGTAATGCTTTCTGCAGCGGATGCTGGTCGAGATGGTTCTTTCGAAGCAACGGGAGATTTGTCATCTTTCACACTTGGTACTTTTTCGATTTCAACCATTTCGATGCCAGTTGTAGACACACGACGAGATTCATCGGCAGTAGTTTCTTCCCGTTTTTCACCCTGCAACACTGATCCTCGACGGGATTCATCGGTAGTTGCTTCCCGTTTTTCACCTTCCGTTACAGATTCTGGTCTAGATGGCTCCTTAGAGGCAACTGGAGATTTTTCATCCTTTTCACTTGGAATTTTCTCAACATCAGGTTTACCAGTACTTGCCAACGAGACTCGACGCGAGTCCTCTTTATCTCCTTTTTCAGATTGAATATCATCTGGTTTTTCTAGTTTATCTGTAATACTTTCTGCAACAGATACTGGTCGAGATGTTTCTTTCGAAGCAACGGGAGATTTATCATCTTTCACACTTGGTACTTTATCGATTTCAAGCTTATCTACACTGATTGTAGATACACGACGAGATTCATCGGCAGTAGTTTCTTCCCGCTTTTCACTCTCTGTTACTGATTCAGGTCGAGATGGCTCTTTAGAGGGAACTCGAGATTTTTCATCCTTCTCACTTGGAATTTCCTCAACATCAGGCTTACCAGTACTTGCTAACGAGACGCGACGAGAGTCCTCTTTAACAACTTTTTCATCTTGAAAACTTCCATGTTGTTCTGGCTTATCTGTAATGCTTTCTGCAACTGATACTGGACGGGATGGTTCTTTTGAAACTGGAGATTTTTCTTCTTTAGTGCTTTGTATAAGGTTTTTCTTATCACCGATTTTCATTTCTGAAATTATTTTTACTGTTTCTTGTTTTGTTTCTTTGAAAGTGTCTAAAGTTGATTTCTTTTCAGAAATTTCTTCAGTAATTCGTGTCTTCTCTTTAGCTGCTTTTTCTTTCAATTCGTTTGTTATAACTATGTTTTTGTCATCTTCAACTTCTATAGCCTCTTCAATAGTAGCTGGGCTTTCGACTGAAACTGTTTCTTCGTGTTCCTTCTGCTTAGGCAACATAGATGGTTCTGTTTGCTGTACCGGGAGCTCATCTTCAGATGTTATATCACTTACTTCTTTCTCTTCTGGTGTACCAAGTTGTTTTTTAATAGGTGTTTTGTCTGCTACTGTTGAAATATATTTGTCTGTCTGTATAACTACAGCAGTAGTGACGTTTTCATCTTTTACTTCCGACGTTTCTTTTACTCCTTCAACTTTTTCGATCTCAGGAGATGGTTTCTCTTTCTTGTCTTTGTCATGTAGTTCTTCTACTTTTAATACCAGATCTAGAGGTTCCATTTCAGTGGTCTGTGGTATCATTACATGTTCAGGAATGTGTTTTATATCTTTGAGTTTTCCACTGTCATCCTTTTCATTATCTTCAACCTCCTTTTCCTCCTTTATGAAATTTTCTTTCTGTAAAGTGGTTTTTGTGGTTTCTTGTGTATCTTTTTCATAAACTCCTAAATCAGCTTCTTCATGCATGGGAAGATCTGCTACTTCGTCTGGAGTTTTAACAATATCTCTCATCAAATTTTGTTGAGCTTCAAATGTCATTTTAATAGGCAACACTCTTTCTAAGCCCTCTGTAATACCTGGTTTTTCTTCAAATATTTTGGTAGTGGTTGATATGGCTTTAGTCTGAACTATTGATGATACCGCGATTGGTTCAAACTCTTTTGTTTTTTCCTTGATATATTTTTCTTCAACAACTAAGTCTTCTTTGATTTCATCTAAGGGAATGCGTTCATCTTCTGGGAGTGTTGGTGCAGTTGTTGCTCCAGACTCAATAGTAGCGGAAAATTTCTCTTCGGGAAGACTTTCTTGTAAATTAACTGGAACAATATCAGGTGCTTCTAATTGGTCATCTTTTGTGTCTGAAGTCTTTTTGGCACTACTCAATTTTTCTTCTGGTGTTGGTGACGAAAGTAATTCATCTTCAGTCTTTCCGGTGTGTTCATCCACTCGTGATTTAACAATCTCTTTTGCAGTTAATATTATTTCCTGCACCTCAGCTATAATTTTTGATTCATCAGCAGGAATTTGACTATCACCATATTCGTCTTTTGAAGTAATTGATTCCATAAGGTTAACAGAAACATCTTTGGCAAGAGTAATACCCTCTAACCTGGCTTTTCTTTCTTCAGCTTCAACTTTAGCTATTGCTGCTTCAATTTCTTCTTCGGCGCTCTTTTTGCGTTTTTTTTCTGATTCTTGAGAGTCTCTCTGATGTTTTTGAATTTCCTCTTCCTTTGTTATGCTGCTTTCTTGTTCTAATGCGGAATCTTCTGTATACTGATCTATTTCTTCTTTTTCAATTATTAAGTATTCTTCTTCTTCTTCTGCTTCTGTTGTACTATCTTGCTTAGATACTTCACGAAGTCCTGCTTGTAACTGTTTTTGTCTTTTCATTTCATCACGATTAAACACCGCTTCAATTTCACGTACAACTTCTTGTTCTTCCTTCAGATCATCAAGTTCTCGTTGTTTTTCAGCATCAAGTTCTTGAGATGCACTTAAGTCTTGCATTTTTTTTGCTGCAGTCACTTCGTCAGCAGAAGGAGTTGATACTAAGCTAGAATCTGTGGTACCACCTTTATCAATTCGTGATTTTTTCAGTTCTACTTTTGGCTTCGCAGATTTAATTGGGCTTCCTGGAGCCTTCTTTGAAGGTGATGCTCCACGGGGGCGTCTAGAAATCGGCTTTCGAGTTTGAACCTGTTGTGTTGATTTCGTTTCTTTTTTTTCTATATTTGAGGTGACAGTTCGAGATGTTTCCTTTCTACTAACTGTAGATATCTGGCGTGATGCTTGTTGTTTGGACTCGAGAACTTTTCTATTGTTTGCTTCCTTAGCGCTTTTAGCTGGTGTACTACTCGGACTTGACTTCGAAATTCTAGAAGTAACTTTAGATTTAACATCACGAGTAGTTACTTTCGAAGCTGTTGTTGTACTTTCTTGCTTGCGTGGGGTTGCGGTTGGGGAGCTCTTTTTATCAGCAGACAAATCTTTTTTGATTACTTTGCGCTCCATCGACTTCGGCGGCTTGGTATCAATACGTGAACGCACTACTGGTTTAACTTCAGCCCTTGGTTTTTCACTTTTTTCTTTTTTCGCCTTCATTATTTTTATGTTATCCGAACTATCAGTCATTTCTTTGGTTGATTCTATTTGAGGTTGAGGTTTGACAATAATAACTTCTACTTTTTTCTCTGTTGCTTCAGTTAATTTGTTATCTTCCTCACCATCTTTACTAGAGGTTTCAATAATTTGTTCTACTCCTTCATCACCAGTTTCTGCTGCTGGTTCATCTGTGTCTATAGAGTCTTCTTTATTTCCGTATGTAACTTTTTCTCCACATTCAATTTTTTCTGAAATTTTTGTTTCCTCTGTAATAACTGCAGAGACAGCTTCCTTCATTTTGTTATCCTGCTGCACAGCTACGGCTGCTGCTGCAACTGGAACGAATCTACCTATTTTTGGTGCGTGTCCAACTGGTTCTAGAGGAACTCCACTTATAGATGATTTAAAAGTCTTTCTTGTTGTAATTACAGTTTGTATAGTTGGTGCAATGGATTTGGCAGTGCAGGTTGAATGTTTCATAAATTCTAAATGCTTCAGTTTTTCTAATCCTTCCTGGATTTTGTAGTCTGGTGTGCTACCAGGGAATAGAATGCGTGTAATTGTGTCATCAGGATTTGCTGGTTGCCAAACTAAAAGAGCACAAATTGACACTATATTTTGAAGCGGGAAATTAAAATCTCGTGACTCGCGAGTCGCAAACAACCGTTGATCACCTGAATTCCATCTTTGCAAGAAATCTTTCACTTCCCTTGAATCCTTTGAAGGGCTTATTACATACATATCTAGTGTGCCATGCCCAACTTTATGATATAAATTTATTGGCTCCTGATTACGATAGCAGTTTTGTGGTTTTAGGTCTAAGGATCTTAAATCGCTAATTAAGTTATGACCACGCTCGAATAAATCAACCAAGAGAGGATCTCGATCTTTATCACCATCTGGACTAGGTAGTCCGCCTTTGCGATCTGGTATGTTGCAAAAGAAGTGACCAATTTGTGGATAAACATGAGAGTCACGTTTTCGTTCAACTACAGCACCTAATCCTTGAATATTGCTGTTATTGAGGCGTGTCATAAGCACTGCATCTAACCGATCCAAATGCCGAGCAAAGTCCCAAAAGCATGCTTTACGATTAAAACCTCCATCGACTGTAAAAAAAATATTTTTTAAAATTTTTATTGTATTTGGGTTATATCAGCGGATATGCACCTAACATATTAAAACCATTAATGCCAAATAGTGCGGCATCGCCTTGTCCACCAGGGAAGACATACAAAGTAGGATGTGTAAAACGTATATTACCAACAACGTCTGACGTTTCTAGTAAGTCACGCAATGAGGTTGGAATCACCATTGGAGCTAAATAATCTAAAAAAAATTAAAAATAGTTATAAGATTTCTTCTACTTAATTTAATTGTTTTATTTTACTAACCAATAAAAGCATTTATGCTCTCATTACTGGTATCCAAAACGTCAGTTGGATTAATTCTTATTCTACACAAACGGGCAAAATTTTTATCTGGCAATGTGTGCCATAGTCCAGCGTCAGCACAGTGTATATTCATTGTAATTGTATCCGCGTATGCACGTATAACTCTTTGTACTTCATGTTCTTGAAATGCTTCGGAAAAATCACTAACAGAAAATGTTCCATCCTAAAATATTGTTTAATAATGATTAAATTATAGACAAACAAAAATTATTGATAATAACACATTTATAAAATAATCTGCGTTTATAATTTGATGTTGATATAATAATCAATATACATGCAAAATTAACTATTCTAATAAATTTTAATTATTATTAAAGTAATTATCAAACAAAATTTTAGAAAATCCCGATAACCGGGTTGAAAAAATCTATCCTAGTATCTCCCATCTGGCTGCGACCAAAAGCGGGTAGACACGCAAAATACGAGATGAAGTTTCATTACCTTTTAATTAGACACTAATTCGGTATCAGACATCAAACATTTCGATCTTGTAGAGTTGGTAGCTCAAACCCAAAGTCACCCTATTCCTAAGCATTATCCTTTTGCACTTACCTGTAGTATCCAGGAACCATTGCCTGAGAATGTGTAGCCAGCATGTATAATATGGCGATGTCTCGTGAAGCTACTAAGCAAGTTGCGCATACATTGTATTAGTGTGTTATATTGAGGATGTATAAGGACTTCTGTGACTAGATTTTCACTGGCATATTGTATGAGTCGTTCGCCTGAAATTTTAGTTGATATATTATTAATTTCTTTTTTAGTTATGATATACGTTATGATTGCAGTAGTAGATCTTCATTAATTTATTTTGTATAAAAACAAAAAATATAAGCCAATTTTGACAAAATATATATAACAAGCTTCTAGATATATCAATTTGAGACTTCACCACTAGAGTGGTATTTTGTGATATTATATGCATTAATTTATATTGTATATACTGTTATTATCATTAAAACAAATTGAATATGAAAGATATTTGTTATGAAGAGGTCTTTCGAAATTCATTTTATGTTATATTATTTTTAATTAATTGAATTTTCAGCTGACCATACAGCTGTTTCGAGTATTACCAAATACCATCATCAATGGTCTTGGAAATAATTCTTTTATTTAATTACTCGTAAATAATTTGGTTTAAGACTCCAAGTACCAGGAATCGAACATGTGTCCTGCCAGATTTATAGCTCAGAGTCAGCGCTCCTTAACCAACTGACCCAAATCCGTACTTGACTTTTGTATTCGCACATTTTTCTGGAGTTTTTTAATTGACTGTGAATGTTTTATTAACAAATGCACTTGCTGTGTTTATATTAGCTATAGAACCAGCTGTAGAATAATTAAATTAATTAATCGTGTTTTTATTTTTAATTGTTAAATACTGTTCTGTTTATCATTAACACAAATTGAATATAAAAGATACACAATAATTTTTTAAACATTTCAATGTAATAGTATAACATTTTTATGAATTCTTTTTATGTGTAAAAATTTTAATACAAACTTAATAGATTTAAATTGTGGAAATTAGTTTTATAAAATAATTTTAATCAATAATTTTCCTTCTAAGGATATTAACTTCCTCCTCAATTTTGTACTTATTAAAAAAATGAATTAATATCCTTAATCTATAGCACATTAACTTTATAGTTTCCCTTCACTCATTTAGATTATCACAATACCATTGAGAGCCTTTAAGCTTAATTTGCATAACTTAAGTATCGCTATTATGACTTCCTCTTGAGAGTACTTGCGTTGTGAAATTTTAAAAATTTTTTCAATGCTTTCAAGGTATTTAAATTTTATAAAAAGGAATATAAAATTATAAAATAAATTTAATAATTAAGGACCGTCAATAACAAGAACAAAAAATAATTTATCAGAGATTATGAAAATCAATTTTAGTTTCATCCTTACAACGTGCAAACCTTGTTTTACAAGTAAATTTTCTTCAAGAAAAAATCAACAATTTTATTATAATTTTATTATTTCCAGTTTTCTATTTATAAAATTGCTTACATTCACAAATTATATTTGTTTGAGAAGCGACTTTTGTTTTTTCTCGCAGAAATTGATAAGCAATATATATTTTACCAGTAATTGAAAAAATCTTTACTCTACACTCATTTTAGAATTAATATCCGCTCCATAAACTCATCCAAATGAATCAAACTTATTTCAAGACTCAGCTAGTCAAATATATCTATAACGTTCATTGACTAAATAAAGTCATTCGTCGCATTAAGACGCGATGTTAACTGATCAACACTTTTAATGAAAGCTATCCTAAATAAAATGAACATTATAAAAAAAAATGTTAAAAAGTATAGTCATGGTATCAGGTACTGCACTTAGAATAATTAATTGAATATTTCCAAACGTTGACAAAGGGATTGAAATATTCGACAGGTGTGATAGTTATTAGAAAATAAAGCAAAGTCAAAATGAATAGCCAAGACCCAGGGCCATAAAAATAGATGGGCGACACATTCAAGTCAAAAAAAAGGTTTGCATTAAGTCCATTTATTTTTATTATTGTTTTTTATTAATGTACAAAAGCAGTAAGTAAGATTACTACTAAGCGACTAACTATATCATAATAAGTAGAGCGCAATAACCAATAACCTTCCTTTGTTAACAATTTGAGTATAACAAAGGAATTAACTAGACAGCTTAAATTTGAAATTTTAAAACCCATTTTTGTATAACATGAAAAATATTCTAGAAAAACTTAAACTTCTGAAATTCTGTGATTCTGTAATTATTTTTACTTAATTGGTCATAACAATTCGTTACGGGGTTTCCACCTGACGCAGCATATCCCTCCAGACACCACTGATGCGTGCGCAACTTCTTCAGTCTTGTACATTAAGTGCAATTGGCACAGTCTATCTCTACGTCTTCATCCTCCAACTACTACTTCAAATACCTTTTTCGCTGGAGTATCTTCATTTATTCTCACACAATAACCAAACCAGCGAAGCCGTGTAATCTTTATTTTTTGAATTATTCCAATTTCGTGACATCAAAAGTGACCTATGTTATGAAAGCACCGGTGTCAGTTTTACAGAAATGTAACCTCGAAATTTCATAACAAAGATAAATGACAACAAATGATTGAAAAAAATGGACAACAGTCAGATTGGTAAAATTCATTTTAAAATAAAAACAAAAACTGTTTTTAATTTTAATTAAAAACGACGAACACTCTTGAATATATAAAACAAATGTTATTCAAATAAATACGATTAGTTTTATTTATAATTTTTTTTAATAAAATCATTTCACCTGGTGAAGCATATTTATAAAGCATATTTATTTATTCACTGAATTTAAAAGGATTAACGCAAATGGTTGAAGTCTTTATAATAAAAAAGTAGATTTTTAAAATATTGTCTGTTTATTTGTTACGTACTCTTCATATTTATTCATGTTTTCTTTTAAGAATAAGTAAATTACTAACAAAATTATTGGAGATAAGTTAAATATATAATAAATCTAGACAGTCAAATGACGAATGCTCAGGTCAGGTTTGAGCTTTCTTGTGTCGTGGCGTTGAACTTATGTTATGCCGGCAGTCAAATCTCAATCGTCAATTTCGTAGTGTTAGTACTATTTGATTCTATTAATACTATTCTATTTAAATATAAAATAAATGTATAATTTGACATATGTTAGTAAGTAAATCTGTGCTGAATTACATGAGAAAGTAGAAAGTCTCATTAACATGCTTAACATTCAATTAAACTTTAGTCTATCACTGTTAACGTCAAACCAATTAGTCTCACTAAAAGCACACACAATTTAATATTTAATATGAGCATGAGTGTATGCATAACATGACCATAAAAAATTATAAATATTTGGAACAGTTTTTAGAACTTATAATACTCATATATTTTGAGATAAATTAATTTTTGTTTTTATTTCATTTTCGTATAATTTTAATGTAATAGAAAAAAGAAATAATAAAATTGTAAAAAAATATGAAAAATATCTATAGAGGTGTTTTTTATTATTAAGTTTTATTTGGCTTTTTATCTGGCTGTTTGAGTTTTCCTTATCTTTACCCATTAACATATATAAGCTACACACTGTTTAAATAAGTGTCGTGATAGAGTTTACTTCACAATTAATGTAAATAATATTTAGTAGGACTATTTATACATGGTGTGACACTTTCAATAAATAATTTCATTATATAAATTAATGATAAATGATATTTTTTTCATATATTTTCAATGACTCCCATTATGCAAATAAAGCCTATTTATGATTTCTACTTCTGAAAGACCTCAACTATGGCAACAAACAGAGCTGCGGTTAATGTCTTGTAGGGTCCTTTATGCAAAATATTTGCATTTTTACTTTTCTGATTTTTATTCACAATTTTCATTATCTTCTCGGATTAGTGCAACACTGCACAGCAATTCAAATGCATTTCAATTGTCATTTTAAGTAACAATGACAGTAGTGGCTTTATTTGCTTTTATTTCAGTGCATTTCATTTTAGAATCTCTGCTAAGTTGTGTCATTTAACGATTATAATCTCAACCTTAACAGTCATTCTGAACGCAATTGAGGTGAGAAGTGGCGTTCAAAATGGCGTAATTATAAAAGTAAATATTTTTAGATATTTACCGTAGATTTAACAATTTATTCACTGTATTTTATTTGTAATTATTTTTCTATTTTTATTTCGAATAAACTTTTTTCTTTTAATTTGCATTGAACATTTTTCTTTATTTATAAGCTTCTATTATTCTTACATTTTTCAGTTTAATTATTTGCAGAAAATATCATTATCTAAGTATTTTTTTGCTTAATTGCAGAAGTCATTAAAATTATAAATTACTTAGGATTTATCTTTTGTTATAAAAAAAAACTTTAAATAAAAATGTCGAAGCTTTGAGGAAATCTTTTGTTAAATTTTTTGAGGCACACAATTTTCTTTTGTGACAATAAAAAATGTTTTAATTTTATGCAAATAAGTGAATTCATCATTAAAGTGAGAAAGTATAATTAAAAAAATGACAGACTTTTAATTATACGTTTCTATATCTAACGAAGAACTAATTATCATATATATACTATATTTTTTATAAAATATTATTGTTTTTGGCCTCCGAAATGTCTGTTGATTTTAATTGTTATTATATTTTATTACGGTTAAATAGTTTTGTGCTTATACTATATATTTGTACCTTAAAATTGTCTACATTTTTTCGATCTCCTTCTCCGGCATTAATTTTATATTAAAACCAAAAATATGTGTATTTTAGGGTTGGCATATTAATTGTGGCAAAATAAACAAATTTTTGGTTATAATTTTTTTTGCTCCTAAATGTATGCAATTAACTTTTCATTGGAGAGAGTCAAAAAAAAATCCTTTTACAATATAATAATAAATAAAACATATTATAAAATAATAAAATATTTACTCCTACAAGCTTATTAGCTCGCAAGTATGAAGATGGTATCTGCCTTGCTGTTGATATTTGCTTGCACTTCACACATTTCAAAGCAACACAAAGGAATGCTGCATATTAGAAAATAAATATAAAAATATAAAAAAAATGCATAACGAACAAATGTGTCCATGGACACTTTTCTAAGCCGTCAACATTCATCCCTGGACGGGCATACGAATTCAAATTTCTTTTCTCATTTGCATGTGACGATAGCTGTGAATTTCGATACGATTTCAAGGCTTCTACCGTTT